ATTTATAGCTGGAAGCTCTATAAAAATGGCTGCACAGACATTTTGTTATTACATCGAATACAAAATGGCTGACTATTACTTATAACAAGCAATGGCACATTTCAGAAACTATAAAGTCTAACATAATTTCATGACATAAAATTGTCACAAAATGATACTTGTATTATATCAAATTAAAGCTTGAAGCTCTATAAAAATGTTTACACAAAAATTTTGCTCATATTTCCAATACAAAATGGCTGCCTACTACTTATAACAAGTCATGATAAAATTCAGAAACTGCAGAAAGTGCACCACAATTTGATGACAGAAAGTCACCACAAAATGAAACTTTAATTATATCAATTTAAAGCTTGAAGTACCCTTAAAATGACTGTTCAAACCTTTCGTTATTGATTATAACATAAAATGATTAATTATAAGTAAGTTCATCTCACGAATCGATGAAACTATTTTCTGTCAATGGAAAAGTTCATGCAAAGCCCACACATTTTCAGCAATTTAATCTCCAAATAAAATACGATTTCGTACGATTAAATTGCACAGAATCGTTTCGAAATTCGAAGTTCCATACGCAAGAAACCTAATACGTGCAGTAATCGTGAAACGATAGAAGTGAAACTCATTTACAAGTGTAATTAACGATATTGTGCAGTCACGTTAGCAAACTCTGACAAGTTATCCACGATTATTTCTCGACTATCTACAGATGAGAACACGCATTCGATTAACAACAAAATAAGCGACTTTGTATGAATACAAGAAAGAGTTGTTTGCATTAGAATGCATCGAGGGCCGCGTTTACGATAATTGTTGTAACACACGAACGACCACACGGTCAGAGTAATCGAGCAGCTTACCCAACTGTAACTGTTCCGAAGGACGCAATAAAAGCGAAGAAGCAATAAAATTAATTTTAAAACATCGCTTTTATGCCTCGACATTCCAGAATAGCGTTCTTCTTCGATGGATCAATACCGGTGAATACAAATCCGGTGACGTGCACGTCAACATTCTTGTTTATTGTTCTTCGCGTCTTGTTACATTACGCAATGATTTATTGGGTTATGTTAATAATAATGTACTACCGGAAGTATGGGGTATGTGGAGGATAAATTACTAGTGAATTTTTATGCACACTTTGATGTAACTAAATATTGTCTCGAGAGAAGATTTTTATGCTCTTCTTTTGTAAAATTCCAGAACTCTCAAATTCCAAAATTCTCAAATTCCAACACTCTCAAATTCCAAAACTCTCAAATTCCAAAATTCTCAAATTCCAAAATTTTCAAATTCCAACACTCTCAAATTCCAAATCTCTCAAATTCCAAAATTCTCAAATTCCAACACTCTCAAATTCCAACNACTTCCAAATTCCAAAACTCTCAAATTCCAAATCTCTCAAATTCCAAATTTCTTCCAAAATTCCAAAATTCCAAAATTCCAAAATTCCAAAATTCCAAAATTCCAAAATTCCAAAATTCCAAAATTCCAAAATTCCAAAATTCCAAAATTCCAAAATTCCAAAATTCCAAAATTCCACCTCTCAAATTTCAAATTTCTCAAATTCCAAAACTCTGAAATTTCAACACTCTCAAATTCCAACACTCTCAAATTCCAAAACTCTCAAATTCCAAATCTCTCAAATTCCAAATTTCTCAAATTCCAAAACTCTCAAATTCCAAAACTCTCAAGTTCCAAAACTCAAATTCCAAAACTCTCAAATCCCAAATCTCTCAAATTCCAAAATTCCCCAATTCCTCAACTCCTAAGTTCCAAAATTCCCAAATCCCAAAATTCCCAAATTCCAAAATTCCCAAATCCCAAATTTTCCAAATTCCATATCTCCTTTCATCAGACAATCAACGTGTCCGAAACCTGTCCATCACATACGCAATCCAGCGATTCGAAAATCACACATCACAAAATTTAGATTAGCTCGGAACTCGTTTATCAATGGAACTTTTATCGAGTTTCCTCGTTACCGGTGCACCGTTAACCTGATCCATTACTTCCTGGTCTTGGTAACCTTGCCCTGCGAACTCGCGAATAATTTATCGTGATATATACGAACGGACACGAGTCGCGAAGAGGAATCATCGCTTCACGTGATCATCGTATACACACCATGTTTCCAGCATTTCAGATTCCAAGGTCTTGTACATATGTACCTCGTGTCGGATGCACTTTTGCAATAACGGTACGCGCATTTACGCTTTCCTCCGATCAGCTGGTCGACACGCGTGCAGAAACCGCTATACTTCAGATACAAGATGGCTGATCGAGGTTTATAGTAAACAATGTTCGATTTGAGAATGTGAGAAGTCTGACATAATTTCATGACATAAAATTGTCGCAAAGTAATGGTTGTGTTATATCAGTTTGAAGTTTAAGGCTCCGTAAAGATAGCTGCACAGCCATTTTGTTGATATTCTAAATACAAAATGGCTGACTGGCTTTTATAATGAACAATGTTCGATTTGAGAATCTGCAAAGTCTGACATAATTTCATGACATAAAATTGTCGCAAAGTAATGGTTGTGTTATATCAGTTTGAAGTTTAAGGCTCCGTAAAGATAGCTGCACAGCCATTTTGTTGATATTCTAAATACAAAATGGCTGACTGGCTTTTATAATGAACAATGTTCGATTTGAGAATGTGAGAAGTCTGACATAATTTCATGACATAAAATTGTCGCAAAGTAATGGTTGTGTTATATCAGTTTGAAGTTTGAGGCTCCATGAAGATGGCTACACTGCCATTTTGTTCATATTTCAAATACAAAATGGCTGACTGGCATTTATAGCAAACAATGTTCAATTTAAGAATCTACAAAGTCTGATATAATTTCATGACATAAAATTGTCTCAAAATTATACTTGCGTTGTACCAATTTAAAGCTTGAAGCTTTATAAAAATGGCTAAACAAACATTTTGTTAATATTTCAAATACAAAATGGCTGACTGTTATTGATAACAAACAATAATAAATTTCAGAAACTATAAAATCTAGCTTGATTTTATGACATAAAATTGTGACAAAATTATAGTTGTATCATACCAATTTAATGCTTGAAGCTCTACAAAAATGGCTGCATAAAAATTATATTAATATTTCCAATACAATATGGCTGCCTATTATTTACAACAAGTAATGATAAATTTCTTGAACCGTAAAGTACACCACAATTTGATGACATAAAAGTATCACAAAATAACACTTATATTACATTAATTTAAAGTTTGAAACTCGATAAAAATCCACAACCATTTTGTACACAGTTCGAATACAAAATGGCTGACAGCAATAACAGTACGCGCATTTACTCTCCGATCAGCTGATCGACACGCGTACACAAAAACCGCTATCGATCAAATGTCTGACGAAAGTTCTTTGAGATATGGTTAACCCTTAACGGTCATACTGCGGTATGAAACGAACTCAGCCAATTTAGCTTCAATTTTAGCCACTTTACATCCTGAAAATCTGAATAAATACCTTTTTTGAAACCCTCGTATTTTTACTATTTTTTTGCTCAAACTGTTATATCTCGAGAGCCCTCAGCCAAAGTTTCAGCTCTTTATATTAAAATCGAAAAAAGTTTGGCATTTTTCCGTAAAAACGGTTTTCAATTTTTTCTGAATTTCTTTTCGCATTCAACTTTTGCATTTACTGAAATACGTTGAAACGACTTTCAAAGATTATTTATAATTTTTTCTGTAAAGTTAAAGTAGCTTATTTTGGGGAAATATTTTAGCGGGGTCTTAAACGTACCAGTGTGTCAAATATTTTATTCTGAAACAGTCAGACGTGTAGTCAGTAAGTTGACTCGCGTTATATCGCCGTTATTGAAATTATAAGAGTAGCTAAGCTAAACAATAGACTGATGATCCCATCAGACACAAATGTACACTAATATTCACATTACTAAAAATTTGTAAATAAATTTTGCTCCAGTATTAACCAAATCTATCTTGAATTAGTATCTTGAGTATCTAAGAATTATTTTCGGCGTCGAGCATTGTTTTCCCGAAAATTATCACCAGTTTATAATGAAATGTTTTACGAGGCACTTTGATTGTACAGCGTGTTAGGTAAGCATTACATAAAATGGCTGGTAAGTGATAAAGTGTACAAGGAAGCGCGATAGAAACTCTTCGTATCGTCTTTTATATTTGCAACGCGATACCCGTAAGGAGATATTACATTGTTCGAGATTGTTGCATTTTTTAATTCAACACTATGGTTTCTGTTTCGATACAAGCATACGAAACAGAAATAACAATCTGTGTCTTACAGTGCTTAAAATTCAAATGCATTGGGTTGAAAGTTGTGCTGAAAAGTTAGGTTATTTTGAAAACAAAAATTGTAGTATATTTACTGTGCTATATATACAAAATTGTTTATGGCAATATAGTTGAATATTCGCAATGAAATTTTTCACTCAACCTAACGCTTTCAACAATTAATCAGAAAGCAAGTCTCATCCCTTATATTTAATTTTGTCATCAAACTAAATTTAATTTCATTTTATACAAAATGTTTATACCTTGCAAAGTTGAAAAGGTATAAAGTTTGTAGTGCACGCGTCTGACAAGTTGGCATGTGGAATAGAATTCGATTGCCAACTAACCACAAACACAAAATTGTAATTAAACAGCACCACTCATAAAATCTAACTACAAATCATAAATTCAACAGCATCTTCCAAAGTAATTGACCTTAAAAAAATAAATTAAAAAAATAGCAAGTTTAAATATAAACATACTTATTACTACAACTTTGAACAAATTTTAATAAAGTCAAAATAAATTGAACTTCTCAGAACAATGAACTTTTTAGAACAAACTGAGATTATTTTTTCAATGTGTTCAAATGCAATAAATTCTAAAATTGTTTTTAGAAATAAATGAATAAATTAAAAAAGTTAAGATGTGACTTGCTTTCTCTAAGAAATAGACATATAAGAATTATACAAAAAGTGTAGTTAGTACTTACTGCCCCTTGGACCGTAGAATTTCACGGAAAATTCGTTTAATCCTCCTAGAATCGTCACCTCATGCTTGCTTTCTATTCTGTGAGCCGGTTAAGGAAGGTGAATCTGTAAGAATATTGAAGGGAACACGAAGATCGAGCCGCGTACAATTGAAAAAAAGCCACGCGAGACGTTCAAATAAGAAGCGAAAACACGGGGCGCAAATATTTAGCGTCGACGAGAAAACGGTGCAATGAACCGAAGGAAATCGATATGGAAACTAGTACAAACGAGGGATATCTTGTCAAAAATCTACCCTAACATCACAATTTTTTCCATGATAAATTCGTGTGCAAATATTAATTCTGCCACTTAATAGGATGGTGACGTTATTAGGGTGTTCAGATGAGGATTAGGGTGATGTTCGATATATTGCCGTTTGAGATTTCAATATTTGGAAATTTTTTTATTTTATATGGTTCGAATTTTCAAATTTACAAGTTCTCGAAATTCAAAATTGGGAAAATGAAATTTTTGGGATCTCAAATTTGAAAGTTCCAAAATTGCAAAAATTCCCAAATTATTCCAAAATCTCCAAATTTCCAAATTTTTTAAATTCCTAAATTCCTAGAGTTCCGAATTTCCAAAATTACTAAATTCCCAAATTCCAAATTCCAAATTTCTCAAATTCCAAAACTCTCAAATTCCAAAACTCTCAAATTCCAAAACTCTCAAGTTCCAAAACTCTCAAATTCCAAAACTCTCAAATTCCAAAACTCTCAAATTCCAAAACTCTCAAATTCCAAAACTCTCAAATTCCAAAACTCTCAAATTCCAAAACTCTCAAATTCCAAAACTCTCAAATTCCAAAACTCTCAAATTCCAAAACTCTCAAATTCCAAAACTCTCAAATTCCAAAACTCTCAAATTCCAAAACTCTCAAATTCCAAAACTCTCAAATTCCAAAACTCTCAAATTCCAAAACTCTCAAATTCCAAAACTCTCAAATTCCAAAACTCTCAAATTCCAAAACTCTCAAATTCCAAAACTCTCAAATTCCAAAACTCTCAAGTTCCAAAACTCTCAAATTCCAAAATTCTCAAATTCCAAATTTCTCAAATTCTAAAATTCCCAATTCCTCAACCCCTAAGTTCCAAAATTCCAAAATTCCAAAATTTCCAAATCCCAAATTTCTAAATTCCAAAATTCAAAATATGCCTCGCGTTATATCACCGCATTCAAGTACATCTTCCCCCTACCTCTCACAACATAATACTTTAACGTCAACATATTTTAAAAAACAGATAAGTGTACAATGAAAGTATATAAATGTTAAAAAACTTAAATTGATATCGATAACTCTACAAATGATAATTAAGAAAAAAGTTCACACATCCTATTAAATTTCTCCTATCAAGTACTTCCACTCTTAATGATTTTTAGAAAGAAAGAAAGAAAGAAATGAACGATCTACTTCAGCTGTGTAAGACACTTGAATGTACAAGAGAATAACGTGAAATTTCGATGTAATTTGTCTTTAATGTATCTCCACACTCTGAGTGCACATTAGAAAGTACTTTTAGATCTGTGGAAATAAATCATAGTTTCTCTGAATACGATAAGACGATCTCTGAAGTTCCTGTATTCTCAAGGTTTAAATTTTCAAAAATCACAAATTCAACAATTTTTAAATTCCAAAATTTCCAAATTCCAAAATTCTCAAATTCCAAAATTCCCAAATTCCATAATTCCCAAATTCCAAAATTCCCAAATTCCAAAATTTCCAAATTCCAAAATTTCCAAATTCCAAAATTTCCAAATTACGAAATTTCCAAATTCCAAAACTTCCAAATTCCAAAATTTCCAAATTCCAAAATTTCCAAATTCCAAAATTTCCAAACTCCAAAATTTTCAATTTCCAAAATTACCAAATTCCAAAATTTCCAAATTCCAAAATTACCAAATTCCAAAATTACCAAATTCCAAAATTCCAATATTACCAAATTCCAAAATTACCAAATTCCATAATTCCTAAATTTCAAAATTCTCAAAATTCCCCAATTCCCTAAATTCCAAAATTCCCAAGTTGCAAAATTCCTAAATTTCCAAATTTCCAAATTCTCAAATTCCAAAATTTCCAAATCCCAAAATTCTCCAATTCCCAAATCCCAAATCCTATCATAAAAAATTCCCAAAATTCCCAATTTCAAAAATTCCAAAATCTGCAAATTTCCCAAATTCTAAAATCCTAAAATTCCAAAATCATTCTCGACTTCCCTCTTAGCCAAACCCAGATTCCCAAATCCCCGGCCCATAAACTTGTCCAAAGAGTTAAAATCGATGAAGTTTCCACCCTAAACTCGTAAACCCCGGTATTCAGTGATTCTCGAGAACACGGTATTGGACGTTTTACGAGACTCAACCCTTTCCGTACGTTGAACGAAACCATTTCTTTCAAGCACATTCAGTTTCATCGTGGAATAAAAACGGGAACGTCGAAAGAGTCGCTGGAAGAAGCAAAACAAAAGTTTCCAAGCGCGTTTAATAATACACCGACGTTGCTCGCGGTTCTGAAATTATCTAGCACGCGCCGTCGAATTTCAAGCTACGTTTAATTTTAATCGTTGCGTTGTTGCTCGTCTTGTTTAGTCGGATACTCAATGACATTCATTAGCACGCATCGAGCATCGGCGTCGTTCTGTCGTTGAACCGCGTTAGCCCGCAATTTTCACGTGAAATTGATCCCGATTCGCGACTGAATAGTTCGCGGGGTTGTCGTGCAGGAATCGGGGTCGGAAACCGGCTTCGAAAACAAGCAACGCGGCCACGATGCTGAAGAACGGAACTAACCGGCTGACTTTGGAGAAAGTTCAACAAACAATATTTTGCGAGCCGTGCGCTTTACCATCACACCGATCCGGGAAACGAGACGTAAAATAAACGGATTATAATATATTGACCATCTACCTATCGCCTTTTTGTCTGCCTGTTTACGAGAACAGGTGGTAGGAATTTTCAAATTTAACACTGAACCTACCAGCATATGTGTACTTAATTTCAAATTAAAAATAAAGAAACAAACGACGAAACATAAATTAGTACATTTATTCTTTATCTTGATGAAAATCAATTTTGAATTCAAGAAATGTATTTTAACAAATTGTGTTCCTTATAATAAGAAGCTTGTGGAGCGGTCATTTTAGTGTTAATTGATTAGTTGCTGCATTTATATATTTTTTTAACTGACGAATTTAATTGATGCATTACTGTATAGATTATTTGGAAAAATTTCTTAACTGACAATTTACTAAATTAATAAATTAAATTGGTAAAGTGATACACTTGTAAATTTATAATTTCAAAAATGAGTAACTTTGAAAATCAAAAATTTGACAACTAAAAAATTTGTAACTCCTAAAAAAATTAATGTAAAAATTAGAAAAGTGTTTTTCAAGAAAAATTTTACAACTTTGCTATATATGAAAAGAGACTGCTTCTGCGCGCACCCTAAGGTTCACACCGAAAGAGTAACGACAGTGATTTTTCCGAAGCACAGAAGATAAATAAAGTTCAAAAGCTGTTTAGCGTGTAAAATATGGATCGTATGCTTTTAATTTCCATCGACTGGTAACGGGTCCGTGAGAGAGCACGCGATCGTTGAAAAGGAAAATCAAATTACGACGATGTGTTATTCAACGTACGGTAAACCACTTTCTTGTTTTGGCAAGCGGTTACACCGAGGCGAACGTTACGGAGCTCTCACCTGGGGCTGCTTCGAGCTTTGTTATACGGAAAGACCAGACTACCGTGAACGCACTCGATTCTGACGTATATTCTCGCAATTATGGCGCTGGATACGCATAAATCGAAATCTATGAACTAGGATAACTGCATCAAGCTTCATATATTTCAAAATGTTCGTATTTGAAGAACGTTCAAACCTCAAATGTACAGAATTTACAAATTTGCATGTTCAGTTCTGAATTTGCACATTTGTAAATTTAGAGGGAAGTCAGAAATTTAAAAAAATTAATCTAATTTAAAACATTTCTAATAATTAACATCACGAATAACCAATAATACTAATAATTAACATGTACATATTCTACAAACACAAAAATATTAAACATAATAAAAATCCTACAAGCCCAGACAAAATTGTTTTGATGAAATGCATATCACTCTAAATAAAAAAATTTGCAACGAAAAAACCGATTTTTCATCTCTGAACAAGAACCCAGTTAAATTTCTCAACAAGCGAATTGATATATTCGATATCAACAACCCACTTCAAATATTGGCGGGAAAAGGTTTGAAATAGAAGAGTTTCAAATATACAATACAAATCGAAGCGTCACGATACAACGAATCGATATTGTATCCGCGCTCTGTAAACAAACATTTAAAATACTCACTCCCTGTATTCGAATGGAAATATCGAAAAATTGAAGAGTTTTACCGAACCAGTTTATAGGTTATGTCGGACGGATTGAATGACCCCAATTCCAACGAGATTTTCCAGAGACTTGCATACGAAAGATGTATTAGAAAAGGGATGGAAACGATTGCGGATCCTGAGAAACCGTTACAGAGCATTTACTTCTTGTTGTTTACAATGTCGAGGGAGCAGAGTTGAGTCTCTCGCACTAATCTTGTTTGAGTGAACCACACTGTGTGGTATTTCGACAATTTACTTAAATTAAATTCAATTCATTATGCGACAGAGTGATACTTGCGTGTTTCTTGCATTAATAGAAGCTACATCATTATCAGATGAAAGCAAACGCACACAGTTCATCTATAAAGATGGACCATCTACGTTAACGAGATAAATCGTGCAAGGTAATTATTTTCATCGATTAGAAGAAAGTTGATGACACAACTTTGACGCACACGGTGCGTCAAACGCGATCCTATTTCGCAACGTTGGCAAACGGGAGAATGAAAAACAAGGAGGTGCCGGGTTCATCTCGCGTCCAATGCTTGACCTTGTTTACGGCCAGGATTGCATAGACCTTTCGCTATCGGTGTGGGTTTCAGTGTGTGTCTCGTTTCGCATACATTACGAGGAGAGCCAACGCCTCGTGCCGTTCTTATCGT